TTAGTTTTCCAATAAATTGTGCTGGTGCACGCATCTGCTGTGTGAGACATGCAAACGAGGATGTCCATCTCGATTTCCTGTTGTATACTTTGTAGGGATGCTTTTACCAATCTCTATTTTGAAAACAGTAAAAGTTTGAGTTCTGTCAAGATTTGGGGAAATGTTTACAACAGAACCACACCCATCAGAGATGGAGTCCCTGACTCCCACCAACAATGATGGGGAATCCTGTGGGGAATCGGAGGTTTGGGTGTGTGGGTGTGTGTGAGGGGGGGGGGTGATTTCGTTCATACCAGGCACTTTAAAAAGAAAAAGAACTGAACTGAAAATCCGAGGCAAGAATAGTATTTTTTATGATAAAGTAAATGGAAAATGGAAAAACTTGAGGCAAGATTCAGCCACGGATGATTCAACATGGTGTTGCATGAACAAACGAATGAGTAAGTGAACCACATCTGAAACACACAGACTGCCTCTAGATCCCCATTGACTGCATTTTGAGATACAAGTTGAGGTTACTTTAAGGTTAACCCACTAACGACGGGTGTCCCACATATGAGACACCTGATAAAATAAACATTGCCGGGCGTTCCGCCAGTGTGACGCTGTATTGGGGCTTGCGCTCCGGCGCAGCAGCAGGCTGCGGCCGACACGCTGGCAGAGTCCGGGCCAGCCCCCCAAGCCCTTAATGAATTAAGGGAATGGTGGTTCGAAAGTGATGTACCGCTAACGAAATTCTACAGCTACATGATTATCGTATTTCACCGAGTTCAGTGTTTTCCCCGATAATGTAACGATTTCATTAAGAGACCTATTTCACCACAAAGTTGTAAAAAAATTGAAAACACAAGTAACACTGTAAACGAACTTCACCTTTGGAATAAACAACAAGAACTGTGGTACGTATATAATTCAATATATGTGCATTTCAATTTTGATAGCAATGAATGTAGTTTTTCATTGCCTAAAACATTACGATCTTCAATTTTCTCCTAGTCAGTGCGGTCCTTTTATATACCTTAACCCAGATACATAGTAGTTTTGCTTTTAGAGAACAAGATCAAGAAAACCTTCACAGAAACTAAGAATTTGAGCCAGTAATGGAGTTTTTCCCTTTAACCCAATGCCACCAGGAATATGTTGCATTCACTTTAGAATTGCTTTGTTAAATGTTTCTGCACACAGATGGCTCTGCCAGTGCTTAGCCACAAAGAATCAATCAGCAGATCTTGAGACCTCACCTTTCCTTGAAATAGCAGAACTCTTTTCTTACAACTGCTATCTATATTGATAGTGTTATATTAGTTATAAACATATAATTCTCTGTTATTACTGACACTACTAAAAGCAGTATTAAATACTAGAAATTGTTATCAAAAATCAAGGAAAAGGGTAAACAGTTGAGACAGATACCCCTTGTAACTGGCTCATTGGTGACCTAGTACTTGTTGAGCTATCTTTATGTAAAAACAATTACTAAATTAGACACAGTGGGCATGGCATGTATGCACATGCCATCCCTGTCAGCATGTGGCTAATCAGATTTTGAGTATTGAGAGTTTTCCCAAAATTTCTTAAAAGGTTCCAAAACAATCTTTTTATTTTCTACCTGCATCCTTGTGAACATTTAAAAATACAGCTTTTCTAGTGTTTAGACATTACTCAAGTAAAGTAAAGGAAAAGTGAAAATGAAGCAAAAATATGCTACGAATTTTGCTTGTAAATTAACAAACAAACAGTTCCTTTTATGATGCTTTCCCAGAACAGTCGTATTTCATTATTTTATTCCACTGTATTCTACCTATAAGTTATATTCTGTTATTTTTAAGCAAATGAATTAGACGACTGTTCAAACTACTTCATCTTGTATTACTAGCATTATCAATTATATATGATCTGTTATATAATCTTGAGGATTTATTTCATTAGACACTGCAATGTAAATGTTATTAGGTACAATTTAATTACCTTTTCTGTTGCTGATGGAACTATGAAAAATTATTTTGTTTAGATGATGTCTCTCTCTTTCTACATATTTTGCCACTTCTAAAATAGGGAATGCAGTGTTTTTTAAGGAGGGGAACAAACTAAAAAAAGAAGCACAGAGAACGAAGTACAAAAATACCTTTAAGCATTAAAAATTGCTTTTTACCTTACTGACTATTAATTAATTGGTATGAAGTTGCAAAATGTTAGCATGGTGATAGAAATTTGTGTTGTTTAAATAATATTTCATTCACACAATTCTTTTTTATCTAACTTCAAATGAGCATCCATGTCCGCATTCGCATAAAAATCTGTGCGCACTTTGCAAAGTTACCATTCTGGTGCTCACAAGAGCAGATTAGAGGAGACCATACTATCTATCCATACTCACACCATAAACCTGCCCACCCCTTAAACACAATACTAACATGACCAATATCATCCTAATAAATATCGCAAACCATAACAAACCACAAAATAGCAAGAGCATACTACCATATTACCCAAAACAAACATCACTATATCAATTAATTGGTTAAACCTCAAACCTAGGGGAGCTAATGCTACATGCAATTGTACAATAATAAGTGGAATGTTAAAAATCTAAAGAAAAGTAAATATATGATACTGTGGCATCGTTTCCACATAAAAACCAGGAAGGGCAGAGACGCCAAGCTAGGCAGTCTCACCTCATTTTACACGCCCCCTATTGAATATCTAATATCAAACTAAGAACAATCGTACAAACACGCTTATTGGATCGATGTAATCATTATTTGAGGGCTCTTACCATCTTAGTAAATAGAAATTCCAGAAAATACTATCAGCAGCAAAATTGTGGGGACGTCTCCAAAACAAGCCACAACACGGGATAGCGTTCGTTCACATCCCGCACCGGAGCCTCGCTTTTGTTGACGAAAAATGTCTTAAAATAATGTGCAACTGCATTCACATAGAAATATAGGAAATACGTAAGAAAAAAGAAAAAAAAACAAAAAATGTGGCTATGTGTATGAATCAACTGATATATCAATAAATAATTTTATACAAATGTTCGTTAATGATAATAAAATGTAATTTCGTGCTGTGTAAAATGACATGAAATATGTTCATATGAATAAAAATACCATATATCTATGCACATATATACATACGTGAGCACGCACATACACGCATACACACACGTACACATGCACGCACGCACGCACACACACACACACACACACACACACACACACACACACACACACACACACACACACACACACACACACACACACACACACACACACACACACCACACACACACACACACACACACACACACACACACACACACACACACACACACACACACACACACACAACACACACACACACACACACACACACACACACACACACACACACACACACACACAGATATTCTTTCGTGCACTTTATAGAAATTCATTGATCAATATCGATCGTGAAAACTTTCTCCAGTTTACTTTGAAACAAGAAAGACTGAGTGTTCTCGGGAAGACCAGTATAATGCCAGGTATACTAAATAGACGTCGCAGATCTGAAGAAAAATGTAGGCAACAAGAAATTATTTTCAGATTTCAGAATCATAGTCTACTTGATATTAAAGTTAAATGTAATATTCAAAGTATTTTCTTACCTTATACATAATGGTATTACGCGATTGGACATTGGCCGGCTGTCTTGCAAAGCAGGAATCAAGAAACTAGAAATGTTACTTCTGTATATATAAGAAATTCGATATAACCAAACTATCAATAGGTAAAATTAATAAGCGAATGGAAATGCATCTTACTAACCTTTTTTATTGCTTAACCGAAGAGGGGCATGAAAGAGAGGAGTTAACCCTCTCATCCTTAACACCCTCTCATCCTTAACACTACGACCAAAAAAAGAGAAGCTAACAAAGAGAAAAAACAGAAACTTCGTCGAAGGGGGAGAGAGACAAATGAGAAAATCAGGCGATAAAAAAGTGGCTCATACACTGAACTCAGCGTAAGGATGCCGGAGGCACAACCAACCCTGGCCATTGATAGTCACCAAAACACACTTTATGAGTTAACCATAGAGAATAAAACACGCTTTACATGTATAAAATATATGTGTGAAATAATGTAAATTACTAATACTAATTACGATGAGATGACAATATACCATCGGGAAACGTTTTTATTTCGATGTTTACCTGTCAGATTTACTATTCAAACTGTAAACACATTCCCAAACCTATTACACTCACAGAATATGTTATTCGTTTCACATCTATTTCTATCAGTGAATAAATGTACACCATTAACTGCTCTAATCTAGAATTTTCATTTTCCAAATTAAAACCCAATTCATCCAAAAGTTTCTTTTCCGAAACCTTTGTTTTTAGTTGATTAAACAGCTTCTTCACATTTTTTATAACTGTAGCTTTGTTCGATTTTAAAATTGGATCGCTAAGTCTTGCTTGTCTTCTCATCTTAGCTCTGCTAATCACTTTTTCTGTATTAAACATTTTCGCTTCCATGTTGCCCGCGATCCCATCTTCCCATCTCAATTTGGCCCTTCCTCCTTCCCTCTGCTGCCATATTCACAATCCTTCTTCCAACAGATGAAAAGTTAATATTCCTTCTCATTGTATGACCGAACTCCCATAACCTACTTTCCTGTAAAGGTCGTTAGTAAGCTCTACAATAATTTTAATTTATTACTTATTCTGCCTCCCCTTCATTGCCTTATTCCTTTGTGGGTCAGCCATTTGATTAGGCTGCCTCCTGCTCGGTCTGTTCTGTGCATACTCCTCTTTTAAGTTTAGCATTCGTAGGTCCTGCACATTTTCTTTCCATCTCCTCCTTTGCCTTCCAGCTGATCGTCTTAGTTCCACCGGGTGTTGGTATGCCATCTTGATGGGTCCTTCATCTTCTCTTCTTAATAAATGACCGTCATCTCATTCTTGCTTCTTCAGCAGCTTCAGTTACATTTTTGTTCTACTCCTTCCCTCTCTACTCAATTTTCCAAATTTACCCTTTTCCGTTCAACTTCCTACTAGGAATCTCCCTGCTAGGGTTTTGCCACAGATGGAGCGTGGTGGCGATGATGTCGCCAGCCGTGGTTAGGTATTGTGTGTGTGTGAGAGAGAGAGTTTTGGGGAGGGGTAGATAGATAGATGTATGAAAGGATGGATAGATAGTTACAGTGAGAGCGAGTTAGAGAGTGCGTGTGTGTGTTGTCAGGGTTTTGTTTTGCCCTGGCTTTGGTGGGTTTATGGAGACACAATTCTGATTCGGCTGTTTATTGATAGGGGTGGTAGGTAGCGTGACGCGGGCTGTCTCGTGCAGTGTAGCTGTGTGCCCTGGGTCAACTGTAATGTAGGTTTCGAGTGCTGGTCGCGGGTCCCTAGTGGAGACGCGGGAAGGTAACCCTTGTTCCTCAGATGTGCGATGATAGAGAGAGAAAGGGAGAGAGAGAGAGAGAGAGAGAGAGAGAGAGAGAGAGAGAGAGGGCAGGAGAAGCAGAGGGGAGAGGGAGAAGGGAGAGGGAGAGGGAGAGGGAGAGGGAGAGGGAGGGCCGCGATGCCCGAAACTGCTCCCTGGCTGTGAGTGTCGCTA